TCCAGGTACCCAGGGGGGACACCCCCACTTTTGGGCCCCCTCTATACCCCATGGGGGACACGACCCCCATACCTAATGCCCCAGAGGGGACCCCCATTTTGGACTGCCTCATTTTGGGGGTCCCCTCCTTCCAGATACCCCACAGGGCCCCCCCATTCCATATACCCTGGGGGGGGGACACCCCCAATTCTAGAGTCCCCCATACCTCATGGGAGGGACCCCTCCCCAACATTTGAACCCCTCTTCTGGATACCCCAAGGTGGGGGGGAACCCCACTTTTGGGCTGCCCCATTTGGGGGGCCAACACAGGGGTCCCCCCCAGTCCAGATACCCCAGAGAGGGGACCCCCAATTTTAGCCCCCCATACCCCAAAGTGGGGGACTCCCACTTTTGGGGTCCCCCATTCCAGATAACCCAAGGGAGGGAACCCCCACTTTTGAGCCCCCTCCTGTACCCTAAGGTGGGGAACCCCCACTTTTGATCCCCCCCCATTCCATATACTCTACGGGCGTCTCCACTTTTGAGCCCGCCCCATACCCCAGGGGGAGGACCCCACAACGTTTGAGCCCCCCCCATACCCCAAGGTAGTGTACCCCCACTTTTATCCCCCCCCAAATTTGGGGTGCCCCTCCACCCCATCACAGCAAACAGCAAGTACTGGACCGTACCCCCCCCCCAGGCGCACTAGCCGGATCCAAATCGGGGGGTAAGGTCCCAGGGGGTCCCCAAATATTCAATTCCTCGAAGACCCCCGTCTCGATCAGCTCCTCCTGCCAGGGGATGGGGACGGTCCCCGAGGCGAAGGTGTCAAACAACGCCGCGTCCCCCTCGTCCAACTCCACCCCCCGCACCGAGGAGAAGGCCCCCACGTCCCCCAGATCCTTGGCGTACACCCGACGGGGGTCCGGGACGAAAGGGGGGGGCACCAGACCTGGGAGGGAGGGGGTGTGCAATGAAGTGGGAGAAGCCCCCTCCCCAGTATCACTTGATGGCTATCCCATAATTCCTGGTACCCACCCCAGTAATTCCTGGTACCCCCCCAATAATTCTTGGTACCCCCCCAGTTCCCCCCAGTAGCCCCCCCATCACCTCAGGTTCCCCCCATAATCCCAGGGACCCATTTCTGGAGCACCCAAAGGTCATCGCAGACCCTGTTGTCGGACACCCAACACCCATTGGGACCCAATTCCATGAGCACCCAACGCCCGTTGGAGATGCCATCGTTGGACACCCAGCATCCACTGGGCACCCCGATTCTGGGGCACCCAACGCTCAACGGAGACCCATTTCCATGAGCACCCAACACCCCTTGGGACCTAATTCTTGGGCACCCAATGCCCATTGGAGACCCATTGCTGGGACATCCAGTGCCCATTGTATTCTCCATTTCTTGAGCACCCAACACCAGTTGGGAGCCAGTTCTGGGAGACCCCACAGTCATTGAAGACCCCATTGCTGGAGCACCCAACATCCATTGGGACCCACTTCCATGAGCACCTGATGTCCACTGGAGACCTATTTTTGAAGCACCCAACACCCATTGTAGACCCCATTTCTAGACACCAAATGACCATTGGGACCCATTTCTAGGACTCCCAACACCCATCGTAGACCCCATTGCTGGAGCACCCAACACCCATTGGGACCCTCTTCCATGAACACCCAACGCCCATTGAAGACTCATTTTTGAAGCACCCAACGCCCATTGTAGGTCCCACTTCTAGACACCCAACGACCATTGGGACTCATTTCTTGACCACCCAATGCCCACCAGCACCCCATTCCCACACCCCCCCCCACCCACTGACCCCCTGTTTTGTCCCCGTGGGGGTTACCTGCCTCGAGGCGCCCCCAGTTGATGGCGGCGAAGAGGGGGTGCGCCTTGAGTTGGGAGCAGTCGTTGTCCCGGAAGCCGAGGCGGGCGCTGGAGTCCTTGGCCAGCAGACCCTCACAGGCGGCCCGTGCCGCCGCGCTGAACCGGTCTGAGTAGCTGACGGGGTCGTGTAGGATGCGCCGTGTCACCTCCTTGTTCTCCACCTGTGGGGATGGGGGGGGTCCTGGGTGGTTCTAGGTGGTCCTGGGGGTTCTTGAGGGTTCCTGGTAGCCCTGGGATGTTACTTGGGGAGTTTCTGGAGGTTCCTGGTGTTCCTTGAGGGGTTCCGAGGGCTACTGGAAGCCCTGGGATGTTACTTGGGGAGTTTCTGGAGGTTCCTGGTGTTCCTTGAGGGGTTCCGAGGGCTACTGGAAGCCCTGGGATGTTACTTGGGGAGTTTTAGGGAGTTCCTGGTGGTTTCTAGGAGGTTCCTGGGGGGGTCCTGGAGGTTCCTGGAAGCTCTGGGATGTTACCTGGGGAGTTTCTGATGGTCCTTGAGGGGTTCTGGTGGTCCTTGAGAGGTTTGGGGGGCTACTGGTAGCCCTGGGATGTTACTTAGGGAGTTTCTGGTGGGTCCTGGGGGTTCCTGAAAGCTCTGGGATGTTACCTGGGGAATTCTGGAGGGTTCTGGTGGTTCCTGAGGGGTTCTGGGAGTTACTGGAAGCACTGGGGTGTTACATGGGGAGTTCCTGGGGATTCCTGGGATTATTGGGAATTACTGGGCACCTTCTCCCCCCGCCTGCGGAAGGGTCCCTTGGCCTCCAGCATCTCGTAGAGGGTCACCCCCAGCGTGAAGTAGTCGACGGCCCAGTCGTACTCCTCGTCCCGCAGCACCTCCGGTGCCATGAACCCTGCGGGACCCAGGCGTCCAGGGGACCCAGGTGTCCGGGGGGGGGTCCCAGAGGACCAGGGGGGACCCAGGCATCCAGGAGAGGAGCAGGGATGAGGGACCCACACCCTCCTGCCACCCAATGTCCCCCTCCCTCCCCATGTGTCCCACCCCCCCC